TATCCCCCCCTTAGTCTCCTCTTTTCTGAGTCCCAGTTTTATTAATCTCTCCTCATATAGCAGCCATTTCAAACTGAAACCCCTAATCATTTTTGTTACCCTTTTTTTTAACTTTTTCCAATGCCAAGATATCTTTTTGGAGATGAAGCAACTACATCTGCATGCAATATTCAAGATATGGGCATAGCATCTATTATATATTTTGAAGAGTTTGTTTGTTTGTGGTTTTGTTTGTGCAAAATAAAGTCATACTTTGAGATTACCTACAGATACCAAATTTTGCATAAACAATCCTGCCACTTAAATTAGTGGAATGTACTACTTTTTACACTTGAACATGCTGGGTGAAAGGTTTAAATGATTATTTTTGTTTTTCACTGGAAAAAAGTCATGACTAGGGATGTTAAACATCCGTTAATTGAATAATCGATTAACCTCATGAATTCTTATCAGTTACTCGACTATTCTATCTAAACCAGCTCCCCTCACGGACTGGCTGCCTGTTGTCCCACGCTGCTTCCTCTGAAACAGAGACAGTAGCGCAGGGTGGCAGCAGCCCCTGTCTGAGGGGTGGGATCTGAGCTCCCAGACCTGGTGTGAGCCAGAACTGAGCCAAGTTGCCTGTCTGCCTGGCTCCTAATACACTTTAAAAGCAGAACTGGAGCAAGGATAGATCCCTGTCCTGGCATGAGCCAGGACTGAGTGCAGCTGCAGGCCATCTTACTAAAAAATATACTGACAGAGGAGGAGAAATGCGTGTAGCCTATAGCATTAACTTATACGCTTTTGCTTATCAGTTAATCAACTACATGATTATGTCCCTAGTCATGACTATTATGATTAAAGTTCATAAACACTTTTGCTAGCAAAATTAAAATTGAGTCACCTATTCAACTGTCATTTTAGTGCAAGGAAAATGTTTACTGTTACAAATCACAAAATCATTCAAATTAGTTACAGAGGGTATGTCTACACTACCCCCCTAGTTCGAACTAGGGGGGGTAATGTAGTCATACGGAGTTGCAAATGAAGCCCGGGATTTGAATTTCCCGGGCTTCATTTGCATGAAGCCGGCCGGCGCCATTTTTAAATGCCGGCTAGTTCGGACCCCGTGCCGCACGGCTACACGCGGCACAGACTAGCTAGTTCCATGAGGCGTACAGCTAGTTCGGATAGGAAGCCTAATCCGAACTAGCTAGTCCTGAAGCCGGCCGGCGCCATTTTTAAATGCCGGCAGTTCGAACCCCGTGCCGCGCGGCTACACGTGGCACGGAGTAGCTAGTTCAGATTAGGCTTCTAATCCGAACTAGCTGTACTCCTCGTTCCAGCCTAATCCGAACTAGCTACTCTGTGCCACGTGTAGCCGCGCGGCACGGGGTTCGAACTGCCGGCATTTAAAAATGGCGCCGGCCGGCTTCATGCCAATGAAGCCCGGGAAATTCAAATCCCGGGCTTCATTAGCAAGTTCGGTATGCATACATTACCCCCCTAGTTCGAACTAGGGGGGTAGTGTAGATATACCCAGAAAGAGTAATGGAAGCCTTACGAGTTTCTGATTAAAATTTACTATGAATGGTAATTATTAAATTAAATGAATGTTGGAAGTTGAATTCCTACAAATTTAAAACTGTTCTTTTATTTCCCTTGTGCAAGCACATTAATACAAATTCTATGACATTTATGTAATTTCTTGAACTTTCCTATAAGCGTAATCTACACAAAATGACTTTGCTCAGTGTGGCAAAGCTCTGGATGTGCCTGTGAGTCTGCGCTTCTGGTGGATAGCATTTAGCCTCAGAGGCTCACTGTGTCCCACCACACGGCCTCTTTCTTTTTACTAGAGGCAGGGTTCACAGCCTACTGAGCCATACTCATCATGAGCTAGCCTCGGGGACTTGCTCTTCCAACACACTCCTCCTGCCTTGCCGCTCCCAGCTCTCACTAGGGTTGCCAGGTGTCCGGTTTTGAACTGGACAGTCCAGTATTTGAACTTTCTGTTTGGGAAACAAATTGAGAAAATGAAATGAGAAAATAGAACTGTCCGGTATTTTCTAAATAAGATGGAATGTAGATTGTGATGTAATATCAAGTGTATCCCGTGTTGAAACCATCCTCTCGCTCTCAGCACTTTGGCTCCTTCCTTGCTCCTCACATGCCAACTAACTACAGAAGAAGAGCTCTTTTAAACCTCTCCCAACTGGTTCTTGATTGGCTCTGGAAAGCTTCGAATTAACTCCAGGTCTTCTAACTGGCCTGATTGTCCAGACTGCTTCTGGAAAATTCCTGCCAGTTCTAGGGCAGCCCCTGTCAGTTTACCCAGGGAACAGAGACCTACTTAATCTAGGACTTACACACTATCCCTCTAGGACTTTCTTATAGCCATGTGACCTCACCCGGTCACACTGAATGCATAAACTTGAATAGCCATGGCATCATATTAATTCATCGTGTTTCATTTCAGAAAGTGAGGAGAGTTAGGCCAGGTCCACATTACAGGGGAAGGTCAGCTTAATTCCAGCTACGTAACAAACATAGCTGGAGTCGATGTACCTTAAGCCGAGCTCCAGTGCCATCCTCACAGTGGCAGCTGGACAGGATAAATGCTCCCATTGACTTATTTTACTCTGGGTATGTCTACACTACCCTCCTAATTCGAACTAGGAGGGTAATGTAGGCATACCGCACTTGCAAATGAAGCCCGGGATTTGAATTTCCCGGGCTTCATTTGCATAAGCGGGGAGCCGCCATTTTTAAAACCCCGCTGGTTCGAACCCCGTGCAGTGGTTCAAATCCCGGGCTTCATTTGCAAGTGCGGTATGCCTACATTACCCTCCTAGTTCGAATTAGGAGGGTAGTGTAGACATACCCTTAGTTAGTCTAAGGCTCACCTTGTCAAACCCACCAACAACGGGCCTCACCTATGAGTGGATTTATAGAGAGGCAATAAGTTTTATTCTCTATCCCTTTTAACATGATTCCTAACATTGTGTTCGCCTTTTTTGATGGCTCCTGCACACTGAGTGGATGTTTTCAGAGAGCTATCCACAATGACACCTGATCTCAAAGCCCACTGAAGTTGATGGGTGTCTTTCTTTTGATTTCAATTAGCTTTGGATCAGGAACTTAGTCTATCCATGAGGTACAAACTCACTCACTTTTTCTCCCATCATCTTCATACTTTAGGAATTTATGCGGGTCCTCTGTCTTGCAGAAAATGAACTCTCAGGCTACTGTTATGACTTTTTTTATCCTGTCTTATTGTCTTGAATGGTAAGTGAAATGACTGATGGTGAAAGATGTTAGATGAATAGCTAGGAGACCAAATCAAAGTATAGATAGCATATCTGGGCCAAGTCTCAGGTACTACAAAGATGAGGCCAATATGGAGCCCAAGATAGATTCCCAGATATATTTATTTATTAGGGAAAATAATGTTAGTGAAGTATATCAAATTAACAGTACAAATTTCTCTACTCTGTACTAAGGATGTTAAGGACTAGTCAACTATCCGATAAGCAAATGCTTATCGGATAGTCAGTCGAGTAGTCGACTAGTCGATTTCCCCCCTTGCTGCCTCTATCGGATAGAGGCGGCAAAGGGGGTAGGGGAAGAAGTGGTACTTCAAAGCAGCAGCACTGTACAGCTGAGCCGGGGATCAGCTGTACAGCACTGCTGCCTTGAAATGCTGCCTTGGCGTTTCAAAGGGGCAGCGCTACACAGCTGGGCTTGGAATCAGCTCTGCAGCACTGCCCCTTTGAAACGTGGCAGCGGCGTTCAAAGGGGCAGTACCGCACAGCTGATCCCCGACTCAGCTGTCCGGCAGCTTCCCCTTTGAAATGCCACCTCAGCGTTTCAAAGGGGCAGCGCTGTGGAGCCCGGGATCAGCTGGGGACTCCCCAGCTGATCCCAGGCTCCGTGTGGCATTTCAGCAGAACTAGGATCAGCTGGGGAGTCCCCAGCTGACTCCAGGGTCCGTGCGGCATGCAGCACAGCATGGAGCCAATGATCAGCGGGCTCCATGAGTCTCCCGCTGACCCTGGGCACCGTGAGGGCGCTGTGGCTTTGAAATGCACAAGAGCCCCCACTGGGACTCTTGTACATTTCAAATCAGGCATGCTGCATGCAGCCCGGAATCGGTGGGACTTCCCGCTGGCCCTGGGCTGCACGCAGAGTTCCGCATTCCTCCTTTGAAATGTACAAGAATCCCTGCCGGGGCTTTTCAAAGGAGGAATGTAGAAGTGCCTATTGCCTAGTCAATTAATTGCAATTTAACATCCTTACTCTGCACCACCATCATTTTCAGCCCTGGACAGGAAGGGATGCTTCCTCCTCTCCTCCAACTCCCCTCCTCCCGTTTGGGAGATAGATACAGCCGGTCCCCGAGTTGCGAACGGTCGACTTACGACTGTTCGCAGTTACGACCAAAAGTGTCATAAATGGCAGACCCTGAGTTATGAACGCGATCCGCGCTTACGAACAGCGCGGTCGCGTGTAACTCAATGGGGTCCGACTTACGAACAAACCAAGTGACGACCAATTGCTTGGTCCGTAACCGGTTCATAAGTCGGAGACAGGCTGTAGTAATTTAGTCTCCATGGCTTCTTCATTTCTTAGCTTCTTTTCCAAAACACCCAATAAGAGTGCTACTTAGAGACAGTTGTGGTGGCAGGTTGATGGCAGTACTAGTGCCTTGCTATGCTGCCTCACCTCTGACAGCACTTTCCAGACATTAACTAGGTCTTAGAGCACCTCTGCTGCTATTAGCTGCATGTGGAAACTGAGGTACAAAAAGGCAGCGTGTCTTACAGAAGGTCGCAGTGAGTTGGATTTGAACCGTTCACTTGGAGATGAAAGGCTCCGTAACCCATTATTGGTCTCCTGCTGCTCTCCTCTATAGAGCTCTGAAATGTGAAATGCTTGTAATTGTGTGTCATTTTGTATTTATTCATGTGTATTTATATCCTGCTCTGTTAACACTCACTTCTTTCCTTTTAGGAGGCTGCAGAGGACCAAGCAGTCACTTACCTGCACTTACCTGCACATGGCCAAGAACCAATGCCTATTGAAAGTATAACACTGACGGGTCGATAATTCTACAGAAGATGGAGGAAAATCCACAGTTACATCTGAAAATGTAAAACTCGAGAAAGAAACCCACCGTCTCAGGATGCAGGTAGGAGCTCTTCAGTTGGGTGGGGCAGAAGAGGGTGTGAGAGTAGAACATGCATGTGGAATGTTTTGTGTCTCCAGACTGACCATGAACATGCCACAATTCTCACTGAAGTCAATGGAGCATGAATAAGGATGGCTGCATCAATGTCTAAATAGGACAATACAACCCCACTTTCGAATCCAAAGCCTGCCAGCTGCTCTGTCGTTATGATGCTGTAGTAACTGGGATTAAACTTGCCATGTCAATGAAGTCATTGATGATGAAGTTGTAACTGTTTGTTTGCACAGCTCCACATGCTCTAGGGGTCTGTTATTTATTTCTAGAACAGTAGCACCCAAGCAACCCCAAGCAGGGATTGGCTTGCATTTGTACTGGGCACTATAGTGACAAACAGTCCCTACCCCAAAGAGCTTATGGTCTAGGATTCTGACAATCGTGCAGTTGGTGACTAAAACAGACAAATGGTGGTGGGAGTGGATGGACACGGGAGCAATAGAAATAGGGTTTTGTATAAGGAGCCTAACCTACACTGGGTAAAAACAACAAGGAATCCTGATGCAGCCGATGAAGTGAATTCTAACCCACAAATGCTGATGCCTAAATAAATCTTGAAGGTGCCACAGGACTCCTCATTATTTTTGCTAAAACAGAGTAACACGGCTGCCCCTCTGAGATAACACCAGGGAGGGATTTGAAGGTGTTTCCATTGTTCCCAACTCCACTAGTAACCTCGCCGGTTTCTTCCCTCCAGCTCCCAGTGGAGGAAATGGATCTCCAGAAGGCCATTGCGAATGTTCAGCCACAGCTGGTGGAGTCCCTGAGTCATGCCCCTGAATGGCTGCTTATGAAAGCCAAACATTTCCTCCCTCACGTGGACCTGAGTCATGTGGCTGGAATTGCTGACTGCAAAGAAAAGGTCTTGTTGGTCCTCAGCACAGTTGAGAATGCAGGACCCAGCATTTGGAAGCAGTTTATTCAGTGTCTCTGCATGGAAGGCAACCTCCCCATGCACCTGGAAATACTACTTATGAGTGCCTCAGGAGAAGGTAAAGGAGAAAGAGCTGGGGGGTTGTTCAGCAGCAGTTCATACTGACACACAGTTCCCACTGGCTTCTTCCCAAACAAGCCTGATCCCATAGTGCCACCACTCTTAGGTCCAGCTTCACTAGAGCTGCTGGGCTAACGTTGTGTCACAGCCCAATGAGCAATGGCAGGAGTGAATTTTGCATTGTGGAAGTGGATATCTTAGGCTGGAAATTAAGGATGTTAAGGACTAGTTGACTAAATGCTTATCGGGTAGTCAGTCAACTATTCGATTCCTCCTCTTGCTGCCTCTATCAGATCCCCAGCTGATTTTGGGTTCGCTGAAATGCCACGTGGAACCAGGGTCAGCTGGGGTCCCCAACTGACCCTGGGCTCCACACGGCATACAGCACAGCATGGAGCCCGGGGTCAGTGGGGGACTCAAAGTCCCCCACTGACCCCAGGCTCCATGGCTTTGAAATGTACAAGGGCCCCCACTGGGGACTCTTGTACATTTCAAAGCAGGCATGCCCGCGTGCTGCCCGGAGTCAGCAGAACTTCCCGCTGACTCTGGGCTGCACGCAGAGGTCTGCGTTCCTCCTTTGAAATGTACAAGAACCCCAGCGGGGGCTCTTGTACATTTCAAAGGAGGAATGCAGAAGTGCCTATCGACTGGTTGAGTAGTCGATGGAAATTCCATCGACTGCTCGACTAGTCAACTAACTGCAATTTAACATCCTTAGTGGAAATACAGTGCAGTACAGTAAATGGATCAGGTTGAAGCCTCCTTTTGCCCATTCTGCATGTGATCATGGAAGATATTGAATGCTCTTAATTCCTGTTGAACTAGCTGGGAGTTGAGGGTGCACAGTGCCGTCAAGGATCAGGGCCTCTCTCTGAATGATCAGAACTACCAGATTCCCAAACTAGAAATGTCCATAGAGGCAAAATCTTTGGAACGACTCAAGGCAATGACAAATCCAAATTGGGACTAAGACAAGACAATGTATTCTGCCCTAGACAAATCCCAGAAACTTTGGTGAGAGGACAAAGAGTGATTATAATATAAATATCTGCCATTTTCTTTTATAATTCTATTAATAGTGTTGATTATATCATTATAATTGATGTAATTGCATATTCCACCTACTGGGACAATTTACCCCATATTCTTTATGACCTTAGAGCCCTCAGAAAGGCGTGAGGCAGTTTTCACCTTTTGAAAACATAAAAAGAAATTTTTCCCAGTCTGATCCATACAGCAGAATGTAGGAGGAAGCTTTGGAAAGTAATTTTTGCAATGAATCCACTGCACAGAATAGTGTAGATACCATCACTTATGTAAAAGTTCCTGTTACGTGTGTTGAAACTCAGTAGATCGAGGATTTCACCGAGGGTGTCTTCTCTGTTTAGCAGTTGAGTAGCTTTAGCTTCCTGCTTAGTGGGAGAATTATGCAAACAACTAACAGCTCATCATGAAACCCATCTTGTTATTGCACATGAACCCTATTTGTTTATATGAATAGCCATATGCACCAGGAACAGCCCACACACAAAAAGAAAGAGGAACAAGGCTAAATCCAGCAACAGGCTAAAACTAAGTATTGACTTGTACTTTCTTACAGGGGTCAAACTAAAACAGGTTTTTGTCTCAGAGTTCAGTGATTTTTTTCCCCCACTTAGATTGTAAAATCTCCAGGGCAGGAGTTGTGGCTTCATATGTTTATTTTACAGTACCTAATACTGTGTGTCACGGAGCTGTGGGGAGTCTCTGGGCCCTGCACCCCCATCCTCAGCCAGGTGTGACTCTCAGCCAACAAGTAGAACAGAAGGTTTATTCATTGACAGGGGTACAGCGTAGCACAGACTTGTTGTTAACACAGGAACCAGAAGCAGTACAATCCATCTTGGGGAGAAGGGGGCCCAGAGCCAGTGCCCTTGGCCCCTTCCCCTCATCCTAAGCCCGCTGAGAGAAATCACACACTCAGCAACTGGTCCCAGCCTGTAGGCAGGCCCTCCTTCTCCTTCGTCTAGCTTGTACGTGCTAAGATGGGGCAACCTCCCCCTCAGTGAGAGTCACACCCAAAACTCCCATCCCTAGCTGGGCACCGATGCAGTGCCCAGGGAAACTGAGGCAGTGCACACACACACACACACACACACACACACACACTCTCTTACAAAAGAACAATGGACAGTAGAAAGGAAACAGAGTGAACGCAATCCCCATTACATCACACCGTGATCTTGATGGACAACTCTGAACACTACTATAATACAAATATTAAAAAAATCATTGTTCATGGTTATTGGTAGAAGGCAAGTACAATGCAGAGACCTTCTACGCATACCTGTCTGCTTCCTGCTTTCAGCAGGGCCCTGGAAGTGGACATACTAACATACTCTACTGAGCTCATTGTACTTCCAGCTCAAGCAGAAATAGGAAATGCTGGAATTGGCACCAGAAAGTGTCTGTTCTTGAAAAGCTTCCAGTCATTGTTCATGGTTATTGGTAGAAGGCAAGTACAATGCAGAGACCTTCTACGCATACCTGTCTGCTTCCTGCTTTCAGCAGGGCCCTGGAAGTGGACATACTAACATACTCTACTGAGCTCATTGTACTTCCAGCTCAAGCAGAAATAGGAAATGCTGGAATTGGCACCAGAAAGTGTCTGTTCTTGAAAAGCTTCCAGTCTAATTCACATCAAAGAGCTAAACATTTTAAGGTCATTCACTCGTGCTACAGTGATCACCATTTACCCATACCTGGGTCTGCAAGGCTGCAGCTGTGGAAGCTTCCTCAGCTCCATTCCTTGCCACTGAACTGTGTTCCAGAGGTTTTTTTTTCATTTAAAGAGAAAAACTTTTGTAGTTTTCTCCTTCTAAAGAACTTCCAAACAGTGGCCAAGTACAAACCAGTGTAATGAGGTCTGCCTAAAACTGTAGACAGGCAGCTTGGAGCAGCAACTATGAAATAAAACATCTGTTCATTTCCTGAGGTGTTTTACTCTGGCAGTTAATAAGTTTCTTCATTATTGTTTGCTATTTAACTGCTGATAGCTTAGCAGTGGTGCTTAGCTCATAAATCAAAAACTTTTCCCACACATTCCTGGGTAATGAAAATGAAAACCTTAATTATTTTCCACTTGCTGCTGAAACCGCTGTCTTTTCCTGGACAACTATGTTACATTCATGCATCACCAATTTAAAGATCCCTGGCAAATTTAAAGTGTAGCATCGGCCTGGAATCTGTAGGTTGCCACACTGCGGTGCTGTTGAAATCAGGTGATTAATGGGTATCCAGGTTTCTAATGAAGGAGCATGAAGGTCAAATTTAGGCTGAGGCAGGACAAATGTGGTGAGTCCCATCAGGAGCCAGAGGAAACTTCATTGGATAAAAGGTGGCATTTCACCCCTCTCTGGAAAACAAAAGATTAACGGTGGGGGTCAGAGCATCCCACACAGGTTTGCAGCATAGCAGATTATCAGACACCGGTGGGACATTGTACAGCATTGTGAGTGTTTGCATGGTGCAGACTTATGGTTTTGTCAGGCTGGGGAGCCTAGCCCACTTGCAACATGTTATAAATAGTTTTATATATATATGTATGTATATAAAACAGCCCTAATTTTATTTTAAATTAACAATTGTAGGTAATTTAAACCAGAAACAAGAAGACTTTGCAGAAGGAAGTGTTCCATCTCCTCAGCCTACAGGTAAGCTGCTGTCTTGGCATGGCATGGCATTGGATGCAAGGGGATGTAATATAACAGGTTTCTGGGGGCACTGCTGAGAGGTCAAATCAGAGTGAATTGCTTAGAGACAGTGCTTCTTACAGCCCAAGGCTGGGGTCCTCCACTATAAGGCACAACAAGCCAGTCACTAAGAGCACTTCTGTTTGCCACGCTGGCCAGCAAGAAATCGCACGAGCAATTCCCCAGACACTCCAGCTTCTTCTGTGCCACAACCAGCACCGCACTTTACTCAGGTGAGAGGATATGCAAACCAATCTCACCAAATCCAAACAGGCTCTTCCAATCCTAAAGGACCAGCCACATTCCTAAGTCAATTTATACCTCAGATCTCACTCACTGCACCAATCCTTTAGAACAGGAGTGGACAATAATTTTTTACCGAGGGGCCACTTTAGAAATTTTTGAAGTGGTCCTGGGCCACACTGGAAGGGGCCGGGCCTCAAGCAGAAGGGACAGAGCCAGGATACTTCCCTGCTTCCCCACCCACAGACCACGATTAGTCTGGGGGTGAGGGAGTGTATAAAGTCTTTGCCCCCACACCAGAGGTTCCCTCTAAGCGACTTTGTGAGCTCCTCCTTCTGCCCCCAGGCCAGTCAGGGTTTGGGGGGGCGGGAAAGTATAAAAAATATATAAATGGAGTTTGCCTATCTCCTAGAACTGGAAGGGACCTTGAAAGGTTATTGAGTCTGGTCCCTGCCTTCACAGCAGGACCAAGCACCATCCCTGACAAATTTTTGCCCCCAATCTGTAAATGGCCTCCACAAGGATTGAACTCACAACCCTGGGTTTAGTAGGCCAATGCTCAAACCACTGAGCTATCCCTCCCCCTTAAAGTGGGTGAAGTCTCCTCCCACCCTGTCAGGAGCATGCGGTGCTTCCTCCTGCTCCCAGGCCCTAATTGGCCCCGGGGTGTGGGGGAGCGGCATGTCCTCTGCGGGCAGAATCAACCCATTTGGTGGGCTGGATCCAGCCCACAGAGGCCCTTTTGCTCTCCCCTGGATTACAATCTAAACTCTAAAGATTTATTATGGGGATGTCATTGTGTAGTCGGCTGTACGATAACCAATAAGCCTAAGCGTATCTGTTCATCTTGTAGACTACACGCATTTCCAACCCCCTTGCTGCCTCTGTATCAGAAATCACATCAGAAATCTAATAATATCACAGGGAGCTTCCAAGTTCTCTCCAAGGGCTAGGTAGCTCTTTTGGGTTTCCAATTTGGGTTGGACGTATTCCTGGAGGTTTCATCACATGACCAAATCTTTAGTTCTTGAAGACTCCAGTGCAATTCTGGAGGGTTGGCAACCTCACTTGGTGGAGCCAAAGACCAGGACATTGCAATACACTGAAAGACATAGAGCAGTGGTCCCCAATCTTGTGGGGCTGCCAGGCGCCCGGGGGAGGGAGGGCCACTCACGTGCCGGGCACCCGGGGGCGGGGCCGCACACGTGCCTGAGGATGGGGCCACCCATACACTGCGTGCCCAGTGCCGGTGCCACCTATGCGCTGCACTCCCGGGGCCGGCGCTGCTCCTGTGCCGCACGCCCAGGAGCCAGCATCATCCCTGAGGCGACCTCATCTCTACCGTTTTTATACCGAGGACTGGCAAACTCATTCAAAAACTGTTGGCGTACCGGCACTGAAATATTCACATATTCATTGCGGCAATTAGTTTGCATATTTGCATATTCGTTGTGGTAATTTTAGCCCGTGGTATATCAGGCAGATCAAAGGAGGGGGACCATGATCAGTGTTCCCTCTAAGCTGTGTCAGCAGAGCTTCACAAGTGATTGTTCAGCCCTGCCCAGCCAGAGGCTGAGCTGAAAGGGAACACCGGACATGATGGTTAACAAGAATTTGAAAAACTGCTGCACACACACCTTTAAAAAACCAAGGCAATAGTTGCTAATACTCATTGAAGGGTATTCTACCGTCCAAACCTTTTCCCTCAATCGCACCACAATTAGAGGCAGTAGTTAACAGGTCTGACAGTACTGACACATTCTGCACACTCATATTTACATATGCACTTAATAATGCTTAATATTAATGTGTGTACCCACTGGCTGGGAGCAGTTGGAGGCCAGGCGGAGGCTCCTGCCAAGTGGAGAGGGAGGAGAATGGGGTCATGGGGCGCTTGGCCCTGGTGACTGTGCAGTGCTTGGCCCTGCCTGCCGGGGTAGCCGCTCTCCATTCAGCGCCTTACCCCACCAGCTGGGGCAGCCACTTTCCATGTGGCCCCACCAGCTGGGCCACATAGCGGCCACGGGAGCTGGAACCGGGGCGAAGGTGAGGCTAGGGTAGCCAGATGGTTTAACCAAAAATACCGAACACCCCTCTCTCCCCCCCAAAAAAAACAGGGAAAAAATTCTGTTGAGGAAAAAGGGGGAGACCAAGGTTGTTGAGCAAAAAAAAAAAAAAAAACCCCGAGGCTGAGCAAAAAAAAATACAAAAAAAACCCCAGCGTTAAAACAGCATGGCCCCTTTAAGGCCACCATCTTGTTTTCTTGATTGGCGCCAGAACGCAGCTTCCTTGTGAAACCAAGGAAGTGGAGGGGAGGGGCCAGGTGCCCTAGAGGGGAGGCCAGGAGTCCAAAGGGGGGCCCAGGGGCATGGCCCGGTTGCTGTAGGGTTGCCAGGGTTGCCTCACAGGCGGAAAAAATCAAAAAAATACTGGACATTTTAGATGTCTGGTATTTTCTGAATTTTTTTTACCAGACAGGAGGTGAAAATACCGGCCTGTCTGTGTCAATACCGGACACCAGGCAACCCTAGGTGAGGCTGCCCCAGTAGGGACAGCCTCACCGTGGTCCCAACTGCCCCACTCACCTTGCTGCTACGTGGAGAAGTGGGCAGGAAGGGAATTCCCTGGGAAACGCAGCCGGTGGATCTAAATAAAAGCTGGGGTCTTGGCTTGGCAATGCGCCACGGCCCGGCAGGAGGGGGTTTGCGGCCTGCTTGTGGACAGGTGGTTGGGAACCGGTGTGTTACTGGATGGCTGTTCCACTCTTAAAGAACCTCAGTGGATGCCTCTCATTCAAATAAGGCCTGATTCCCAAAATCAGACCAGACCACTGGCACATTTCCCCCCACCCCCCACCCCCATGAAGAGAATTACTGGAGATAGAGAAAGGCTTTGGTAATTATTGCTGCAGCAGTATCTCCTCCTGAGCTGGGAAGCAATTGTTCCCCAAGCCAGCCTCAATGAGAGAAGCCATTGGGCGTGTGCGGGTTGGTTCTTGGGTAGAAAGCACTGACCCTATTGCTACATCCATCCCAAAGGGGCGGCAGACAGAGCATGAAGAGCTGAGTGCCAAGGGGCCAAGTGCCATTTCATGTGCGATTTCCAGGTAGAGAAATAAGTGATGAGACGTTTGTAGTGCTGTGTGTGTGGTTTTGTACCGACCTGTCCAGTCAGGAATGCGCTGACACCTGGCGCGCTGCTGTTCTGGCAAAACCAGGCCTACTCTGGTTCACAGCATTTACTTCCGACAGTGACAGATGCTTAGAGCTCCACTCAGGCCCACATGGGTTTGTGAATTTAGAGACTAGCTAAGGTTTGGTCAGCGGCATCAGGGACCCTGCATTAGTGTAGCATTTCAAAGATTGAAACGCTGCGTGGAGCCAAGCTCCATGCGACGCTTCTGCTTCGAAATGTACAAGAGCCCCAGCGGGGCCGCTTGTGCATTTCAAAGGTGGAATGCCTCTGGTGCGCCCCTGCTTCCTCCCATGGATAGAGGCAGTGGAGGAAAAGGGGAAGCAACAAGTTGACTAGTGCTGGTATAGTTGCCATAGTGTAATCATACCCTCAGGGCTGGAAAATTAGCTCAACCCAGCTCTGTCACTCGGGGTGTGAATAGTTCAGATGGAAAAATGGTTCTGTCGACTTACTACTGCCTCTCAGAAAGATGGATTTCCTGCACTGACGGAAGAGGCCCTACAACTGTGAGGTTGCCGTGTTTCTAGTGCAGACGTAGCCTCAAATTGAATAGGGACACGCAGCTCCTGCAACATGCCAGGCAGAATATGGCTCTGAATCACTGTTGCCAGTGGCCCTGAAATCTTGTAATTTGTGTGGGGCAGCACATACTATTTTTTGCACTTGAGGGTTTGCACACACTTGCATCTCCCATGCTATGCATGCACAGAGAGTAAGCAATTGTATAATGTGGGCTTGTGTTGGGTGTGCACAACCATGATTGCAAATTGGGACCACTGTGTCTAAATTGCGTTGTGGTGAATGGAAACGTTAATGACATTGTGGGCTGTGATCTGTGGCACGGGGCGCTGGCTTTTGGATAGATTATCTCAGTCTTGAATCTGCAAGACTCACTGTCTTCTACATATTCAAAACCACATCCGACAGCACCCTCCTCAATCTACTTCTTTCTGTAGTGTACACCTGCCAGGGTTTTACCAGACTACATCCGTATATCTCTGCCACCACCTCTTTCTCTTCTCTGTAGCCCTACAACCCTCAATATGGGAACGTCCTGGCCCTTTAAAATTTCATCTTCCCACCAGCCAGCCAGGTTGACTCAGATCTGCTGAAAATAGCCATTCTCAAACTTTAGCAGCTCCCCATTTTCACCCCCATTTTGATTTTAAAATTTTCAGGGACCCTTTGCCCTGTTTTTTAACAGGGCCCCACACCTGCCCTGTCCTTCTCCAAGACTACGCCCTTGCTCGCTCCCTCTGCCACTCACTCTCCCTCATCCTCACTCACTTTCACTGAGCTGGGGCTGAGGCTGAGGCTGGGGAAGGGGCAGGGGTGGAGGGCTCCAGATGGGGGTATGGGTTCTGGGCTGGAGCCAGGAGGAGGCGCTTGGGGTGCAGGAGGGGGTTCTGGGTTGGGGCAGGGGACTGGGGTGTTGGAGGGATGCAGACACCAGGAGGGAGTCTGGGTGCAGGAGGGACTCTGGGCTGAGGCAGGGGATTTGAGTGTGGGATGTAGGGTTCTGGCAGTGCTAACCTGGCTCCCAGGAAGCAGCCTGAATGTCCCTGCAGCCCCTACATGCCTGGGTGGCCAGGGAGGCCCTTTGTACAGCTCTTGTGCCCGCAGGCCCCCACAACTCCCACGATTCCTGGCCTTATTCATGAGTGTGTGTGTGTGTGTGTGCGCGCGCACACTCCTTGCATCTGGGGATGGGGGGAGAGGGTGATCCCAATTGGGGCTCCTGTACTATAGATAACTAATAACAGCAAGAGACGACTTTTATCCTGAATTGGTGATGTTACAAGCTGGGTGAAACTTTGTTAAGGAGCGAGTTCGAACCTCGTTGGGGTTGACTGGGGTCAATGCATCTTTCAGTTAACATAACTGTTAGCATGGGCCCTAGGCTAAAATAACATGAGAACGTGGAACCATCCAGGAGCTTTTGCTGAGTATCCAGTGGAAGGAGCAGCTGCAAGTGCAGTCTGACCCTGGAAGAAATCTAGGCAAAGGCTCTTAGGTTGGGGTGCAGATTGAAAAGAGCTTGGTTCTGAGAGCAAAAGAAGCTGTGTGTTGCTATTTGATTCCTTCTGCATTCTGAGACACGGGACTGAGCGCTGGAGAGTGGGAGCTCACGCTAGAGCTAGGTGGTGGTAATTAGCAACCCAATAAGGATACAGAGCTAGCGAAGTCCATTAGTGTGCAGCATCTGGTGTCTGTGCTCCAATGCCCCAGGATTACAAAATAAGTTACAATAACCACACAATAGAAAAAATCATGTAAATCATGGTTAGGCCATACTCCCCCATTCCCCCAAGAATGTAGCCGTGTTGCATTGTAACAGCCAGATTCCATACATGCCTGTAGCCAGCTCTGTCAGGGGCCAGGGGAATTTACATATGTTCCAAGGGACCGGGGGACACTCCCCAGGGGGTGGGCTGGGCTCATTCTGCATGATTTCAAACACCTGTGAATGTCGCTGGGGGAGTTTGACTCAGTTTGATTTCTGTCTTGCTTAGGAAATAGGATTTTGGAAAGAGCAGGAGGGTGGGTGATTCTGATGCAAAAACTGAATCCAGTCCCAGCTGAGCTGGGTCCTACTATGGTGACGGACACTAGAAAACGTGTTAACGCTGCATGAATATGTTTGCTGCTTTTCAACTTTCAGGACCTGAACGACGTCGTCATGGAAGCAGTTCTCCTCCCAATGGTAAAGAGTCTAAACAGCAGCGATTAGGTACGTGGATTTCTCAGACCATGCATGTTCACCTAGGGGTTAGTGATTCTGTATTTGTCGTATACAGTATAGACCCACCTGCCCATTATTTTTCTTACATGCCAGTAAATAAATCAAAAGCACCAAGGAATCATCCTTCCTCATTATGGAAAGCATGTGCTCAGAGGCTGCTTTATCTCATATGCAAGTGGTCTCGAACCCCACGCCCTCAAAGACAATGGGGGCTTGCAGAAAAGCGGCTCAAAGAGAAAGCTGGATTAAAATAATCTAAAATGAACACCTATTGAAGGAATTACATGTCCAGAAGGAATCTCATAGTTTGTGATTTGTGAAAGATTTTTTTTAATGGGAAACATTAGTTCAGGAAACATGCAGATTTAATGCAAAACTCCAAGGAGCATTCAGAGCTCATATGGCACATTTGAAAATGCACCTGTATGATCTCAAAACCCAGAGAAATTGAGGAAGAATTTATCCTCAACAAGCAAGTACAGGTGAGACAGAATAACACCAACATTGCTCCTGGGGCCTGAGCCAGTACCCCATGAAACACTGAGGGCCAAGTTACAGCTGACTGCCATAGGTGCACAATAGGAAGCAACAAAAGAGGCTGGAGAGAGTGGGGGTTACAGTGAGCTAACTAGCGTTTTCAGTAGGTACTAGTGTCCTCAGAGTGGCCATATCTGAGTGGGTCAGGAACACAGACTTTGTGACCTGGGAGAGCTGTACTGGGAGGGAAAAACCCTGGGCACCGGAGGTTGTTTGGAAACCGAGATTGGTATAAAAGCTAAATACTGGATTTGGACAGCTCTTAGCTTGGAAGGGTTGGGCTCCAATCCCAGATGAGGATCCAGATTTCTGACGGTAATTAAATGCAGGTTGTACCTCCCTAAACCCGGACTCGCTGGTCCGGCAACATCTGTTATCTGGCAGGAGCACAGATGTTCCTGGACCACAGAGCCCAGGAACAGGGAGGTCTGGCAGTGGGGCAGGAGCATGGGACGGGGGGCTGACAACTCAGCTGGGAGTCCTGTGTCCGTGGGGGTTGGCAACATGCCCAGGGAGTTTTGGTCCCAATGGCTGGGGAACTCCAACCCAGCTACGGCCAGGGACCTCTGGCCCCAGCTTGACTTTGCAACCTGAATGTTCTTTTAACTTAGATTTTTTGAAAATGTAATTTCTGGGGCTTTTTAAAAAATTAAAAATTGAAATAAAAACCACCAAATTCAATAATGTGCAACCACACTATCTCAGTCAGCAGTCTGGCTGGGATTTTTAGATCCACAGCATAGTCCTCTACCATTCAATCTAATGGAGTAGCTGGTAGCAACAGAAGTCTGTTATCTTTTATGAGGACCTGCCCCTAGAAGGGGGATAGAGACACACATTTACCAGTATGTTTCACACCTGTGTGCTAGACAGCAAGGCAATAATGAGTCTCAGGAGTCATGGATTCAGTCCCAGGTTCTGGAGGCATGTGAGCTGTAGTTATGGACTCTGCCCCTTCTCCCTCACCCATTTCTCCCTATCTCCTTCTGCTCTCTCTCCAGCCCTTCTCCCTCGCCGACCCTGGCTATGCACACCCCTGCTTCTGCCCCCAAATCCTTCCTCTGCCGCCTGCTCCCCCCTCAAGTATGTCTACATTACAGCGTTATTTCAAAATATCTTATTTTGAAATAGTTAATTCGAAATAAGTTATTTCGAAATAACGCATCTACACACAAAATGCATTTCGCAATAGCATGTCCACACTGAGTGGACTCTGAATTGCATTTAAGGCCGGCCGGAACCAGTTCCGCAGAGCACCAGGTCAGGAGTTACTTTGTGTGGCTGCTGCCTGAGGCTATCTGAGGACTGTGTTTAAAGGGACTGCCCTCGCTTCCTTCCCCCGCCCCGGAAAGCCAGTTCTCAGCTTTCCCTTCTTGCTTGCCTACCTCGATGAGGGACAGCTCATTGGGGGGCTGTCAGTATCCAGGAGGCCCTGTGGAAGAGCTTCCACCCTGAGGAGCACTAAGAGCCTCCCTGGTCTGCCCCACTGGGGGCTTGTGCCTCATTCCTCCCTCACATCCTTCCACTTACCCCTCCCTGACCCCCCTTCCTGATGTCACATAAAATACACGAATTTGCATGAACACAAACTCTCTTTATTTAACAAAATGGGGAGGAGGGGGAATGAAACTCTGGTGAGACTGGGGAAAGGAGGTGGGAGAGGGGAGAAGAGAGGATGGAAGAGGATAGGGGGAAACCAGGGTGGAGGAAGCTGAAGGGGGGAAGTAAGGGGAAAAAGGGGGAGGGGAAGCTCAGGTCTCAGGGGCGGTTTCGCCAGACCAACTTGATTTTCATGCGAACCTACTCCTGGGTTCGCATGTGGCCTTTGGTGGCCAGGCTGGCAGCTATCCTGCCATAGACGGCCGCG